ATACAGACTACCGAAAACGCCTGAATATCTAGTTGTCCAATGGGTACCTGTCAAGGAACTTGAAAGTGCGCAGACCCTCAGTGATCTTGGTAACAACTGCCGCCATGTCGCTGGCGGAGTCGAAGCTGTAAACACCAGGGGTGCCGGCCACAACACCAGCAGCAGATAGAGTCGAGTTGCTGGCTCCGAGAACACCAACGGGCTTGCCAAACTGGTAACCGGTCTGGAGGATCTCGAGAGGGCGACCAGCAGGGTACAAAGTGGAACGGCCCTTGGCAGCCGTGGAGTTGGAGTTGGCGAGGCTGCCCGCGGGGGCGAAGAGGGCTGAAGCGCTACCATCAACGATGATGGCGTCAAAGTTAACGGCCGAAGTAGCAGAGTAGGTCTGGTCAATGCCAGCGCCAAGGTGCTCAGCGACTACCGTCAAGCTAACCTTCTCGTCCTTGAGCGCGGCCTTGAGCGCCTTGCCCTTGTCGCCAGTGGATCCCGCAGAGGTAAGGTATCCAACCTTCAAGCCCTCGATCTTGAGCAGGGGCTCGCCAGCCGGGTTAACACCAATCGTCTTGTTATTGTGGTAGAACTTGTCATCAGGTGCGGGTGCAGTCATGCCAAGAGCAGTAGCAACACGGGTAGCAATGTCGTGGCTGATACGGTTAAGCTGGATCAAGACGTTCTGCTTGACAACCTCGCTCTGGAGTTGCGAAGTCTCAAATCGGATGGCATTGATGACAAACTGCTGCTCGACTGCGGACAAGGAATTGTAGAACAGACGAGGCTGCGACCAGTTGTCGGCAAAGGTGCTGGAGACGGTGCGGACAAGGTTTCCGCTGACGGATCGAGAGGGTGCTGTGAAGAACCCGCGACCTTCGGCCTGGGTGGCTTGCTTGGGGTAACCACCGTTCAAGGTGTTGGGCGAGTAGGCGGCAGTGTTGAGAGGAATATACATTTGGCCGGCACCATCACGCTCGTTGTTGTGGACGGGAACACGGGGCTGGTTGATAGGGATCTGTTCAAAGTTGGGACCACCGTTGCGGTTCAACTGAGTGTCCAAGTACGAGAACATGCGTCCTTGAAGGAGCGGGTCGTCGGAAACATCAATACCGCGGACGAGATGACCAGGTTGGAACTAGAGACACAAAGTAAGCATTCAGACACCCCATCAAGGTGGCACCGGAACATACCATAATTTGCTCAGTCTCGGCAAAGTAGTTGCGAGGGTTGCGGTTCAAGGTCAACTTTCCAAGAGGGGTGAAAGGAACAATGTCTTCGGGAACAATCTTGGTGGGGTCGAGAACGTCGAATCCGAATCGAAGTTGGTCCGACTCCTCCATGATTTGGGCCTCAAACTAAACACCAAAAGGTTAGCAATCATCGTCTTTGGATAGACTAGGGGTACGTACGATCCATTCTGGGTAGTAGCCGTTCTCGATGCTCTCGAAGAGATCCTGTCGGTGCATATCCGCGTTCATTCCGGCAGTGGTTTGAGCCTCTTCCCACAACAGGGAGGCCTTACCCTGGAGAGATCGGAAGCGGAACTTGACGAGCTTGGACTTGCCGTCGTCACGGACAAAGCGGAAAGTGTGTACACCCCTAGACAGATGAGTTAGTACATTGTTCATCTAAACATGAGAAAGGTTGTTCTTACCAGCCATCGGTATGCCTGTAGGAACGAATGGTACCACTGCAAGAAAGAAAAAACTTGTTAGTAATCGTCCTGCTCAAACATTTTACATATTCACTCACTGTCCACTCATAGCCCACAGGAGGGTGTGCATGGTGCTAGGCTGCTGACTGAAGAAGTCCCATGCCGAATCGTGAGCCGTTGCTGCCTGAGGAATCTCACGGTCCGGCTTGGGCTTGACAGCGTGGATGAGATCAGGGAACTTGATGGCATCCTGGATAAAGAAAACAGGAATGTTGTTACCGACAATATCTAGAGACTGTTAATACCGCATCTGTGTGTCGTCATTATGGGGCTTACCAAAGTTGCCTTCGTCGGTGTAGAACCTGACAGCAAAGCCATGAACATCTCGGGCAGTATCGGCGGAGCCACGGCTTCCTGCAACAGTAGAGAATCGAATGAAAACTGGGGTTTCCTTCTCAGAGTTGGCAAGGAAGGAGGCTCCGGTAATATTAGACCAGTCACCATATGACTTGAACGTTCCATGAGCACCGGCACCACGGGCGTGCACGGCGCGCTCAGGAACACGCTCGTGATCTAAACGGCTAGGTTATTAAACCGTCAGATGCGGAGATTTCTATTACTCTTACCAAAGCTCATGATTTTCCGGCGGAGAATTTGATCCTCGAGCAGTGATGGACCTCGCTCACCAGCCGAGAGGCTCTCTTGGTCGGGTTGGGGCCCTCCCACAGGACTCGTGAGGTAGGCCTTGCTGTCGTCAATCTCATACTGCTTCATGAAATCATCAGTTGACATGGCAGTGGCACCCTCGCGGCGGGCGAGTGGTTGGTCATCCATGTAGGGGCAAACAGCGTGAGCGACATGGCAAATAGCAGCAATTGCTGTCAAAACGTTAGACCGTACCATCTTGGAAGCTGCTTGGGGCGACGTAAGATGGCCTGGAAGAGAAGATGGCGTTGTCCCTTTATACCGCCTGCGGGATCTCATCGCCAGCTAAAAAGCATCGGACGGTTTACCCGTGCTTCAACGTCGTGCTAGTTTAGATCCTGGCAACCGGCAGTCCTGAATGACCGAATAACATGATGGTAATTTCCCCAGCTGAATGTGGTCATCTGTGCTAGCAGATCCCGAGCTGGTGGGTAGGTTTACTACTGGTACGATGTGTACTTACAATAGGTCTGGGGTAAGGATTAGCATTACCGGACCTCTGAGTGGGCTGAGTTTATGCTGTATGTGTGCAAGTATGTAACTGACACGCATCTGTTACCTTGATTAGGCATAGGGTCGGCCACGAAACTAGCAGGAGAGATGGCGATGGGTGATGATCCCCGGGTCTAGGAGAGATAGGGTTTTTCTTTTGTGCATGTACACTGTGCTTGCCACGCATGCGGAGACCTTTCACACAACGCACACTGGGATATTTCCTTTTTTGCTCAACACACGGCTGGAGGCTCCGCGCCTCTGGATGGAAACATCGAATCAGCGCAGCGTGATATGAAAGCGGTTGCAATGCCAAGGGTGTGTGCTGATCATGTCACCGTGCCTCGAGGCCAAGCAAATAGTGGAACTGGGTCCTGGCTTACAAAGTTTACTAAAAGAGATGCGTTCGAGAAGCTGCTTGCAAGGTCGCTAAGGCTTAGCGGTGGGCGTTGCAACTCTGACGACGGCCAAACCTTGCAGTCCACATACATACGTTGAGCAATTTGGCGAAGCGCAATATTGTTCTTTGCAGTTGAGACGTCCTGATTGCGTGATGCGGCTCGGTTGAGGCATCGGCATGTGGCAAGTCCATCCATGTACCGCATCCAAGAGTGCAGGAAAAAGTATCGCTGCTTACCAAAGGCCTAGGGCCAGGCGCTTCAAGAGTGGCATGGTTTTGCATATAGACGAGGGACTTGTTGATCCTGGTCATCTCATCGACTAGGATGGGCATGTATCGACAATGTACAGAATGTTTCTTACCGCCATTGATGCCTCGAAACAAATGGAGGCCCCGGAGAAGAAACCAAGAAAAATGAGCCTGTACGCCGGAGTGATGGGGATGAGATGTCCGCACACATGGGCAAGTGTCGTACGGCGTGGCATAGATGAATATGCGGCCGAAATCAGGGCCGCAGCATGCAGTCTTGCCGCACGTAGGTTGGACTTGGCGTTTATAGTGACGGGCGCGCTCCACTCCGCTCATTGACGGGCCAGGGTTGCTTGCATGCACGTTGGGTTTCCGCTTGTGGACGCGGCACAGTGTTCGGTAAACACATACTTAGGCCTTAGTTCTTCTGTTAACACCTACTCATTTAGGCTGCTGTGGTAAGGGTACTCTAAGTAAGAGCGGGATTTGCCTAGCATATCGCGGAAAATTATGCCCTGCCCCCCGCCCCCTGGAGACAACGGCGAGGGCGCTTGCGGGAACGCAGAAAGTGAAGCGATTGGCCCGTCTAAAGAAACACCGGCTCGGAGTTGTGGTTGCAGTCGTACCGTACCTTGTATGGATCGGACCGTCCGACATCAGGTGACGCGAAGGAGCACCAGCAGCGGCCTCACAATTTGCATAACAGTGTGTACCAGGTTCCGTGGGGGGGGGGGGGGGGGGGTTTGTCCAGTGTATATTGTCCGCCGACTAGCGCAGTCTACCTGATACCTTACATGTTCGTATCTCGAGTCATGGCTCCAGTGTGTGTAAGTACTGACATAGCAGAAACCCGCACCATTTTACTGGCCCTCCGCTGGATTGCGACCGAGATTAGGAATTACGCAATTGCGGTATTTCACCGCACGCAGAGTCTGGATTACCCCAGAATTCACGGTCGCAAATATACTGTACTGTCACTATAGTAGGTAAGACCGGCACTTGGAGCGGCACCCGCGACGCGACCGGGATAGCCGTTCATACCATGGAGCCATGGTCGTCCGTGCTCTCGACTTTGCTTTACAGCTCTTCACGTCAACTGCCGTGTGCTTCTTGTCCCGCTGCCTGTCTACTGTAGTACACTACGCCTGGACGTCTGGCCATGTAAGTAAGTATGTACATGCGCATGTACTTGTGTGCCTTGCGCACCAAACTTTGCTGCGCGCCTCCGCGGACGGCATGGCGGATGGATAGACGGCAAACAAGACGCCTCGGTGAATGCCTGCCGTGTTATCGGAGAGTCCAAGACAGATGTTTCTTGCCGCCCATAGCCTGCGACCTATAGCCAAAGGAAGCGGATCAGTCGGCACTCAAAGGAAGCGGCGATGGGCTGTGCGTCTAACCTGCGCGCCTTCCGCTTGACACGACTATGACATCACCGTGTCTGGCGCGACTTCCACAACCACCCCCGCCAGACCCAACTTCATGCAGTAATTCACTCCCCACCAGCACGCCCACTTCAGTATCCTCGCATCTCAGCCTGCCCAGGACGCTTCGTACAAGCTACTGCTCCGCAGTACTACACGGCACTTTGTTCTATTCCCAGCAAGCCTGCTTGGGTAACTTGCCTAGTTATTTGCGCGTCAGCACAACCTAGCAGTTTCGACGTATCCAGAAGATAACTCTATACGTTACACTGTCTGCCTGTTGTTTAGTGAAACTCTGGTACCATGTAAGTCTGGTCTCTTGGCTTCATTTCGCATTGCATCTCTACAGTTCCAAAAATAGAGCATCTGCCACTGATTGCTCCTCGGAATCTGTTATGCAAGAGAGTGCCTTGGCAAAGGGCAAAGTTTCAGCAGGATTGCATGCCAACAATCAATCCTTGTTGCTTTCTGGATTTCGTGTCTTACAGCCGTGGCTGACCACCATGTTCTGTTCAGGAATCGATCGCTCTCAGTACGCTCCAAGAAGGGTAGCGGCAGCGGCGAGAAATCCGCCCCCAAGCACCGCTTCACCATGGCATCTCTCCGGGGCACGCAACAACCAGAGCTTTCGAAAAAGCTGTTCAAGATCATCAAGACCGAAAATCATGCCATTGCGGCCCACGAGGCTGCTGGGCGCGAACGAATCAGTATCGCTCAGCAGCTGTCTGAATGGGGTGAGGCGACGGGGGACGAGGCTATTTCGGATATTTCCGATAAACTTGGAGTATTGCTTGCGGAAATTGGAGAGCAGGAGGATGTCTTCGCACAATCGTTGGAGGATTACCGCAGCGTCCTCAAGCAGATCCGCAATACCGAGAGTTCAGTGCAGCCCAGTCGAGACCACAAGGCCAAGGCATGTTCTAGCGTTCTCATCGGCGCGCAATGTTCTAACAAAACTTTTCAGGTGTCTGATGAAATCGCAAAGCTGAAGTACAAAGAACCACAGAGTACCAAAATAGTTCAGCTCGAACAGGAGCTTGTCCGCGCAGAAGCCCAGAGTTTGGTGGCCGAAGCACAGCTCAACAATATTGTATGCCGATTTGTTTGCAATAAATACCTCTTGCTGACTCTTCCAGACGCGTCAAAAGTTCAAGGAGGCTTACGACCTTCACTTTGCGGCTACCATTGAGCGGGCAGAGAAGCAGATAATCTTGGCGAAGCACGCTCGTCGTCTCTTGAACTTGGTCGATGACACTCCAATAGTACCAGGAGACGCGCATCCTGCATTTTCTGAAGGAGAAACAGCACGTCAGGTTCTCAACGACGCTGAGGACGATCTCCGCCGCTACCAGTTAGAGGTTGAACCCATCCACTCGAATGCAGGCAACCTCGGAGTAGGTGCGATGCCAGGCACTATGACGGCAGGAGCCTTTGTTCCAGAGTCTGCTACCAATGAGGGTACAGCGAGGAGCGAGAGTCCAGTTGGTGTGCAGTACGACAAAGCTGGATCGGCTGCTTATCCGCTGGAAGAAGCAGACAGAGTCAGCGCCCAGCATGAGCAGACGCCTAGACAAGAGGTTACCAACGTGGCTTAATCACGGAGGACACCTATGCGCGAAAGTCTTAATGTTTTAATGAGTAATAACGATGTGATGCTTTGGTCAAATGTGTCTTCTGCCATTGACGTTGATTGCGTTTTCGTGTCGACACGTGTTTGGAAGTGAGATCTGTGTTGCCTGGGATGATGTAAGGGTTTCTCAAAGCAACAAAAAAAGTTTGGTTAGGTGTATGCCTGACGGTTAAGATAAGAACGTTGCACACTTTGTCCCACCTAGTATATCGTGGTATACAAGGGTCTGTGCACATTTTGGTGGGGTTCCCTTAGCGCGGAATGTGCCGTTCCCCAAGAAGACACATCGAGCTATAACCTCACCTCTAAATTCACGCCCAAGTGTGCCAGCCCTGCCATTCTTCCAGCCCCAACCCGCACCTCTTCCGATTTCAAACTCCTGCTGACATTCGACATGGCGGACCGCAAGAAGAGAGACCGCTATGCAGCAGGAACGGGATACCAATTCGGTGCGAATACACAAGAGGCCGCAGCCGCAGCCCCCCCTCCAGTAGCACCAGGCTATGGTGCGCCCGCGTATGGGGCACCATCACCAGGATATGGTGCCCCTGCTGCTGCGCCTGGATATGGTGCACCGTCTCCCGGATATGGAGCGCCTGCACCGTATGGACAGCCTGCGCCTCAAGACCCAAATGCCCTCAATCAGCAGTTCGGACAGATGAACTTGGGTCCAGGACAGGTAGCCCCTCAAGTCCAGCAACCCACAGCGGCTACTCAGCAAAATCAACTGTTTCCCTCGGATCTCATTGCTCAGCCCTTCCACGTCTCAGAGCTGTATAACCCTCCTCCACCGATCAACCTACCAGCCAACGCTGCGGCCACGCCCTCCGAGTTTGCGAACGAATCGAGCAAGTATGTGCGGTGTACGCTCAACACTATACCTACAAACCACAACCTACTCAAGAAGAGCAAATTGCCCTTTGCTTTGGTCATAAGCCCGTATGCTAGTCTGCATGATTCTGAAGATCCGATACCTGTAGTGCAGGATCAAATTATCAGCCGTTGTCGACGATGCCGCGCCTACATCAACCCCTTTGTTTCCTTCCTAGACCATGGTCATAGGTGGAGGTGCAACATGTGCAACCTGACAAACGATGTTCCACAGGCATTCGACTGGGACGCAGCGCAACAGAAGAGCGTGGATCGATGGCAGCGACCCGAGCTGAACTATGCCGTTACGGAATTTGTTGCGCCACAGGAATACATGGTTCGCCCACCGCAGCCATTGTGCTACTACATTATTTTGGACTGTACGCAGGCTGCGGTCAACAACGGTCTTCTTGCAGTCGTGTCGAGAGTGATCAAGGAGGCTCTTGGCCGGATACCCAATGCCGATGGTAGAACACGTATCGGCTTCATGGCAGTTGACAATGGCCTGCACTTTTTCGGAATTCCTCCCGACAACAGCGAGTCTAATGAGCCCCAGCAGTTGGTTGTGTCAGATCTTGACGAGCCCTACCTACCCATGCCTTCTGATCTCCTCGTGAGCCTTAGCCAATGTCGCAACAACATTGAAACTTTCCTGGACCGCCTTCCTGCCATGTTCCAGAACACACACGTTCCTGGGTTTGCTCTAGGGTCAGCTCTTCGATCGGCGCACAAGCTCATCTCTCCGCTTGGAGGAAAGCTCACCGTCATTGCCGCATCTTTGCCCAATGTTGGCCATGCCGCTCTAAGCCCACGAGAAGACAAGTCGCTGTTGGGCACGGGCAAAGAAGGCAGCCTCCTACAGCCAGCCAACAACTGGTACAAGTCCTTCGCGGTGGAGTGCTCAAAGAACCAAGTTTCGGTGGATATGTTCCTCTTTTCGTCAGCGTATCAGGATGTTGCTACGCTCAGTAACCTTCCTCGATTTACGGCAGGTCAGACATACTTTTACCCTGGATGGAATGCGGCAAGACAAGAAGACGTGGTCAAGATTGCGACGGAACTTGCTGATTACCTGTCTGCTGAGATTGGTCTTGAGGCTGTGCTCCGTGTGCGTGCTACGACTGGATTGAGGATGTCTGCGTTTTATGGTAACTTCTTTAACCGGTCTTCGGATCTGTGTGCTTTCCCAGCCTACCCGAGAGATCAAGCAGTGGTGATTGAAGTTGCGATTGACGAAACCATTTCAAGGCCATTCGCCTGTCTCCAGGCGGCGGTGCTGCACACCACTTCGAGTGGCCAGCGGCGGATTCGAGTTTTGACGCTTGCGGTGCCAACGACGGAGAATCTGGCGACGGTGTATGCATCGGCCGATGCGCAGGCAATCACGACGTATTTCAGCCACAAGGCGGTTGAGCGAGCGCTGTCGAGTGGTCTGGATGCGGCACGAGATGCACTGCAGGCAAAGATGATTGAGATTCTGTCAACGTACAGGAAAGAGCTGGCAGGAGGCAGCATGGGGGGTGGTGGCCTGCAATTGCCCCAGAACCTTCGCGCTCTTCCCATCCTGTTCCTGGGTCTGATCAAAAACGTTGGTCTTCGTAAGAGCGCGCAAATCCCAAGTGATCTCCGGTCAGCAGCGCTGGATCTCTTGTCGACTTTGCCGCTGCGCCTGCTCGTGCAGTACATTTACCCGAGTTTCTACTCTCTGCACGTAAGTGGTTTCCCAAGACCAAGTGGTAAGCCATTTTGATTGACATGATTTAGGACATGCCCGATGATGCTGGTGTGCCTGAGCCTACGACTGGGCAGATTACGATGCCGCCTCAGTTGAATCTGTCGAGCGGATTGATTGTGTCGTACGGTCTGTACCTCATCGATGACGGAGTCAACCAGTTCCTGTAAGTGGTTTTTGTAGTGGGGAGGTAGAGCAGGAGGGGCTAACGTGAGTAGGTGGATTGGACGCGATGCTGTCCCGGCACTATTGGCGGATGTGTTTGGTGTTGAAGACCGTACACAGTTGAAGCAAGGCAAGGCGTCACTGCCTATCCTTGACAATGAATACTCTGAGCGAGTGCGAGCTGGTAAGTCAGGGTTGTGGGAAGGAGATTGGGGAGGGAATGTTCTAACGTGGAGTAGTGGTGGAGAAGTCGAGAGATCACAAGTCCAAGGGTGTAGGGTCTATTACGCTGCCTACACTCTACATTGTCAAGGAGGACGGAGAGCCGAGCCTGAAGCTGTGGGCGCAAACATTGCTCGTGGAAGACCGAGCCGACCAGGGCGAGAGTCTTGTGCAATGGATAAGCAAGCTCCGAGAAAAGGTAGGACAGTGATTGTGTGTATTGTATGTAAGAACTGTGCTAACGTATTATCTTTTTTTTTTGCTCAGGTTGTGCAATAAACACTCATGGGTTAAATGTAGGCTCTTGTATTGTATGGCGAAGGGGAATGAAGGGGGGGTTGGCATGGTGGAGTTGGGGTGGGATAGAAAGGGGATAAGCAACGAATGTATGAGTCGAAGAATAGAGCAGTGTAATCGCAGCTTGGCCAAGGATGATGCATGTGCTTTGCAGTAGGGCATTTTGGGGGGGAGCAGAGGCAAAGCAAGTGGGGTGGATGGTTGGGAAGCCAGAAATGGATTAGAAGACGAGTGTGCAAGGCGAGTAGTTTCTTTTTTACTTTGTAGGGCGTGTGCCTGTGCAGTGCAGTGTAGTGTAGTGTAGTGTAGCGTAGGGGTGGGCGTAGTGCAGGCAGGCAGGGACGGAGGGTGATGGGTTGCGTCACATGGCGGGGTAGTTGTAGTTTGTGGTCGAGCAAAGGCGGAGTGGGCAGACTAGCGTAGCAGTAGCAGTAGCAGGAGGAGCGAGTAATGGCGCGTGCGAGGATTGCCCCTCAACACCAAGCGTAGGCCATGCAGCATGCCACCGCCGCTGGCGCCAGCTGGCTTGGCCTGTTTCACGCATCCAGGCGAGTCCCTACCGGCGCACAAGGACTATCATCGGTTTCGACGATAAAGGCGCGCCACGCGAGTCGAGATTGTGCTGCAGGACCAGAGTATGACTTGCTTACACCTACAGGCACTTTGCCCGGCCTGCATACGTAAGTAGTATGTGTGTAGACATGCATGTGGACACTCAGGCACTCACAGATGTATGTACAGTATACTTGTACAAACACATGCCGCCCATGTGCAAGGTGGCGATGGAATTGGCAACGTGTCAATACTTACTGTGCATGGGGGTTTGCATGGGATTCGGGGCCTGTAGTGTGGCAGGGGAGGCGGGGGAAGGGAGAGAAAAAAAAAGTATGGTACAGACGATGGTGAAGAGGCGCAGATGACCATGGCCCTTGCGATCTAAAGGAATCGTCCCGCGTACGTCCGCAGTGTTAGGGTAAGGTAGGGTAGGGTAGGGTAGGGTTACGAGCCAGTGGCCGAGCCAGTTGGGGCCTTGGTCGTTAGCCCTGTCAGCATGCTGCAAAAGGCGTCGACAGAGCATCCATGGCCCACCGCCTCGACAGCCAGGCTCATGAGATGACGAGGCCGCCTTACCCGCCCGTCTTTGGCCAGCAGCAGCAGCAGCAGCAATAGTGGTAACAGCAGCAGAAGCAGCGAGACGGGTACCGGGCATCGGGTCGCTGTGGTAGGAGCCGACAGGGCCAGTCAGTGATGGAGTCGCCCAAGTCCGGCAGAGCGACGGATGCTAGTCGTTCGCTTCGGCAAGGTACAAAGGTACAAGACTTTTTTGTGTGGATCTGCTCTCGAGTGCCCCCCCTTGCATCAGCCTCGCATGCACGGCGAACCCAGGTGCAACTGCTTCGCCGCCGCACGGGCAAGCTCACCATGGCTGCTGGGACCGACAGAGGGCTAGGTGCAGGGTGGCCAGACACGACACGTGAAAGGGCGTGTGGCGGGGCGCAGAGTCGGAGTCGGATGTGCAGCGCTTGTTCGCACGCCTGGCTTACTCTGCCTGCCCGTCGTCTACGCTAGAGCGGGCGTGTAGTATGACTGCGGCCTGCACGTCTGACGGGCGGACACGACGGGGGCCTGGCCGGCTTGCGTGCCATAGGCGGGCCTCGGTGATCTGCACACCAGACGGTCCTGGTCGCCGCTGGCTCACTAATTGCTGTATGTACTTACTTACTTGCTGCAAACCCCAGCCCTTGCTGGTCCTGGTCCTGGTCCTGTCCTGGTCCTGGTGCCAGGCCGCTAAGATGCCGTCCGTCCTGTGCCTTATTCTCCATACTTGCTCGCTCTTGCTACCTGCCTGCCTGCCTGCCTGCCTGCCTACTTGCTGCCGCCGCTGCCACTACCGGCTTCCCAGCCAACCCCTCCCCTCCTCGCATCTAGCCGCGACGCAATCGTGCCTTTGTCTCGAATCCCGCTCTCCTGCATCTCTCCCACCCCCCACTACACCCCCCCCATTCTGCTGCGCCTGCTCATCCCCACTCCCAGCCCGTCCTCTTGCTGCCCGTCTTCCTTCTGCGGCTCCCGTGCCTGTGTGAGCGTGTGCGCTGCGACCCGCACCCCGTCGACGAGGGGCTGCTAGCTGTACCCTCCCCGCCACCTGAGGCATCCGACCACGCGCCTTATCACACTCACCACCCACCCAAACTCCGAGCATCCGTGCTTGCTCAACCTCCACCACACGCCTGGTCCGTCCGCCCACGACCCGTCCATAACAGATCCACGCCGCGACCCACTCGATCCTGTTAACCACACCTGTGCACCGCCGCTCCTTTGTCTTCGCTCGCTGGAGGCAGCGCCCGGATGTTGTTGCAACGCCACTCTTCATTCGTCATCATCCCGTTTCAGCCTTCTGCCGCCCGCTTCAGGAACGCCCGGCACTGTTCCTCTGATCGCGCCGCTCAAAGCTTCCTGCCTGCGTCCTGCCTTCTGTGCCTACGTTAACCCTGCACTCTGTCCCCCCACCCCCATCGCCTCCGCCCATAGTAAGCGTCTTCTCATTGTGCACATCGCGACGTAACACGCGCCCCGTTCCTGTAGACGTGCGCACCGCACATTGCACCACACGCGACAAGAGGACCATCGTCCACGCTGCGAAGCCGCCATCTCCTCCACCATGTCTAGCTTCCAAGCAGTCAACACTACTACCCTGCCCGTCCCGGAGCCGCCACAAGCCCGTCCAGGCGACGAGACAACGCCCACAACACCCCGCCCAAACAACCGATTCTTTGCAGAGCCAAAGCCCGCCGAAGATGTTCGGGCAGAAGACCCGGCCGCAAAGACACCCACACGCAATACATTTGCAGGACTTGCGGGCCAGCGCCCACTGCCATCGTCTCCCTTTACCCCCGCCCGCGAATTGAGCGAAACACCGTCCGCTTCGAACAAGAGCGAGCAGAGTAGAGAGGATGCACAGAAAGCCACACAAGACGTACAGATGGGCGACGGCGACGACGACAAAGACGGATCCGACAACGAGAGCGTCACAAGCGATTCAAACCGGCCGTCCAAGAAGAAGAAGGGACAGCGCTTCTTCTGCACAGACTTCCCGCCCTGCAACTTGAGCTTCACCCGGAGCGAACATTTGGCACGGCACATTCGGTACGTGCTTTGCTGTTCGACTTGTTTTACTCTCTCCTAACGTGCCCCCCTCCCCCTCACAGTAAACATACGGGCGAACGACCCTTCCAATGCCACTGCTCCAGACGCTTCTCTCGTCTCGACAACCTGCGGCAACATGCACAAACTGTCCATGTAAATGAAGACATCCCGTCCGAATCCCTCGCTGCAACAGGCACCAGGTTTCAACGTCAAATACGAACTGACCGTGTACGCCCACCTGGGAACCGCTCGCGTGCAAATACACTGGGCAGCACAGGCGGACACAGTCGTGGCCACAGCAGGAATTTGTCAGCTTCCAGCATCACATCTACCATGTCAAGTGTGAGCGTAGCCCAATCACCAGATATTCGCCGCAGACCCCAACCTCTCGCCATGGCTAGTGATGGTGGTGCGAGTGCCAGAGCACGCCTGTCGCTCAACACAGCAAGTGCATATGATCCGCCCATGATGGGCAGTCCTGGGCCTGTTGAATATGACACACCCTCTAATGCACCTACAACGCCTACATCTGCTACCTTCTCCGCAGCCACTGGTAGCCCTGCTCACTTTGGATCGACCATGCAATCTCCTGCCACAAGCACTTCAAGACCAGTATCCTGGGCTGGACCACCGCAACCAGGACGTCGACAGTCTGTTTCGTCCAATGCAAACCCAAATCCCTTCGCTGGCCCTCCTGGACAAGGCCCTCCTACCTACATTACACCTCTGCAATCGACAGCTCCTCCTACATACTCCGTACAAAGCAGTGCATACGCTAGCCCTACCGTCTCCAACTTCTCCGAGTCCAAAGGTGACTCTAACGCCGATGCAGACTGGAGGCGACGAACTTGGCATCCGGGAACCTATTCTGGCCCTCGACCAGCGACGAGTGGATTGGGCTATCACCAAACGCCTGACGCTCCACGACCATTGTACACCTCGCAGCCTGCAGCCTCACAGACTACCAGACTTCCGGGCATTGAGAGCTTTGATCATGCTCCGCCTCCGCCAACACTACCTCGACGTCAGCCCAGCCCGATGCAGGTGGATGCTCCTGGCCGCCCATTGACATACCATGCACCAAGGGAACCCCCGCCAAATCGGGGCCATCATAAGCGAACAAGCATTTCATGGGAGATTGATCGACTGAACATCGCCGGTCCGGGTTCGCAAAGAGAGCAATGGTCGCAACAGTATCCCGGCAGTGCAGGCCGGACAAGTACCGCAAGACCAACGACAGCCCCGCACGGTTACTTCAGTCGACAGCCGGCCAACCTTCAGCCTATCCAGATCCCGTCGATAAACTCGTCACCACGGACGTCGCAGGAGCAGCCTGAGACTCCACGAAAGAGCAAACGACAAGCCTGGTACAATGGGCCCATGAGTCAACCACAGCGGGCAATGCAGCGCACATCACCTGAGGATTCTAGCAGTAGTGAGGGAGTGCCGACACCAGGGACCATGATCGACTATCACCCCGCTATTGTCCATAGCAACGGGTACGTGGAGGCGCCAGTTGTTGTTGAAGACCACAAGCCCACGCCCGCGACATCCATCATGGAAAGGCCCCATCCTTTACACGCACAGCCACATCAACACTACCATAGCCACAGTCTCTCGAGTTCTAGCTCAGGCTATCATCCACAGCGTGAGCCTTCCGAGCGGGGACCCGTGACGTTCGGTCCATCGCCCGCCCAGCCGAACAACAATAGCAATAACAGCAACAACGACATGAGACGACTGGAAGCGCTCGTTGCCGTGGCTACAGGGGAACAGCAAGCCGTGGAGCACCGACACTGAAAGTTTACAGTAGATTGATTTCGGCAAATTCCACCTTTTGTCTTTCCCCCCCCCCCCCTTCTAGTTACTATTTGTCATGTCACAGACATCTACTACATCCACCCAAAAAAAACCTTTTTCTCCAGCCAAGAACAACGTCGCCATCATGATCCATGATGATCTCCCGCCAGATAACGCTTACGATGTTTTAACGACCAAACGCAAAAAAAGAAAAGGATGACACATGACGAATTTCTCTCTCTCTCTTTTTCACTTTGTTCATGATTGAAACGTTCAAATCTTTACATGACATGAGAAATTCACAGTCTTGCTCCTATAGCATTCTCTGCAAAACTACGGTTATCTCTCTTCCTCTCTCTCCCTCTCTCTCTCTCTGTCTCTCTTTTCTGTTATCTTTTTCTTTTAGGGTTTGCTTTGCAAATTAGCCATTATTGGGTCCTTACTATGTCCTCTTCGTTCGGGTCCACCCCCCCCTTCCCCCCTCTTCGAGAATTCGATCATCTATCCTATCTTTACCTTTTGTTTACCCATTTTGAGTTGCTGCAAAACCTGTGTTGGCCTCGAATATTCCTTGGGATACCCCGATCCGGCATTTTTTTTTTAGTTTCCAATCATTTCTGTTGTTCTTTTCTTTTCTTTCTACATATGTCCTCATCTTTGAGTCTTTTTTTTTGGTCTTTTTTTGGAAGCTTTCTAGTTTACAGCGATTGGTTTGGGTCGGTGTTAGGGATTATACCAAATCGTACACCAGCGGGAGTTTTTTTTTTTGGTTTTCTTTGACTGTCTTTTTTTTTTTTTGATGGGATTTATTGTCTTGCGCATTTTTTTTTCCATGGTTTGCTTGTGTCTTTTCTTTTCTTTTTCTTTTTCTTTGACTATATTTCCGGCCTGTGTTTTTTTGTTGAGTTGGGGGAGGCTGGGCTAGGATTTATTGGTTTTGGAAGTGGAGGAGGGAACTGGAATACTTGGACCTCTACTTAGTTTATTAGTTTGGTTCTTTGGAACCCAGGTTGAATACGTCTGTACATATTTTTTTTCTTGTTCCGTGCCCACTACATCTCCCCCTCAGGCTATTGCATGCACACTGTCTGTGTTTTAGTGAATATTCAGCTCTTGTCCTAACCCGCGACCAGTCGTGTTCAAACGCATGTGATGTTGCCACCTACCATGTACAGGTTTATTAGCTTGTTTGCTAGAGAGAGAAAAAGACTGAACAAGGAAAAGTCGTAATCATTACTTGTCTCTTTTTTTTTTCTCTTATCATCGGGAATATCACTCTCCTTTCACTGCCGCATATCCATCATGCGCGCAGAACCATCCAATTGTGTCTTGATGCATATATCGTACACTAATCTGCACTTGTGCAACTCTACTCTGGCTTACGAGAGAGAAGAAAAACCAAGAAAAGAGTCCTCTTCCAAAACTCCCTTAGACAATCGTCTCCAACTCCCGCGCATAACCCAGCGTATTCTCAATAACCTGATCGCTCGTAACGAGGATATCCTTGCTCATGTAATCATCCTCCTGCTGGGGGAAGTATATCCGTCCATCCTTCACTACCCATCCAGATTCCTTTGCAAAGTTGACGACGCTGCCTTCCGAGTCGAGGAAGAGGAGAGATTTGGCGTCGGAAATGGGTATGGAGGGGTATGCGCGTTCGCTGCACGAGGCGATTTCCTTGCGTATGGTTCCGATGAGAATCTAAAACCAAACAAAAAAAACGAGTGTTAATCAATCAAGTCCTTTTTTTATCTTCTTTCAAACCCTCCCTTTCCCTCCCTCAAGGGCAAGATCCGGTGGAAGGAGAGGAGGGGGGAGGGGGGGGGGATGACGTACCTCTGTGAATAGCCCAAACTCCTCACCCGGCACCCTCTCGCTCTTCGTCTCAACCCACACCTTATCATAGCTACCCTCCATAAGTGCCTGCTCCAGCCTCACGGGATACTGGATAAACTGGTCAGCCTCAAGCTTCGAGCCCGCCTGTGCAGCCGCCACCTCGAGCGTCTCAAGCAGCGTGTGGAACCCCGCGTAGTCGCCCTCACTCAGCAGCAGCAACAGGTACAGGCCCGTGACTTTGCTGGAATTGCTGCCATCCTTGGGCAGTGTGGATTCCGGGAGGGCGTAAAAGGGCTGCAGCTGCTGGAAGTAGCGGGTAAAGGACTCGGTGTCTTTGAGGCGGATCGAGATGATGGCGCCGAGCTCGAGCGTCTCGCGTGCTAGCTGCAGGTGTTTCCGTGGCGTCTTTTCTTGGGGGATGAGGGCGTTGAGGTTCAGCAGGGCGATCTTAGCTTTGCCTAGTAACGATGTTGATTGCTGGTAGTTGTGCGACTTGAGCGTCTGGTGGAGCTGCTGGAGCACGCTGGAGAGTTCCTTCTCGGCCATGGTACGTGGTGATTCTGGTTTCTCGTTTGATGATACAGATGGTGAATAAGAGGGCGCTTGTATGGGTTGCAGTAGTCGAATGAGTGATGTGGTGGTGGTGTTGTTTGCCGCGGCGGGTGGAAGCTTCGACCGTGTACGTCGGGGGACCGTCGGTGTCGGAGGTGCTGCTGGGCTTAGCGTCTGGGGGCTGACCAACCGCCACGCCGTATCGTAACCCTCAAACGTTCGATAACGAATGTATGCCATCTTTTACGCATATGTCTACAATAGCGAAAAAAAAGAATACATGAATACAACAAGAAATAGGTACGTTCTAAGCAGCTTATATTAAAATTTCAGCCTTGTATTTCATCACAGATCAGGCACCGATTTCTGCAGATGACCAAAATGGTCACACTGTCTCAGAAGTCCCGAAATACTATTGGCGATTCTAGAGTCCTAGTACTAGCCTACCTGTTCTTCCGATACTGCAGCTGACATCACTTGAGATACTTTTACAGCCTGTGATTTGTGTGATTCCACTAGGCTTATGGTGTATTAGTCCATGTTTCGTTATAAAGATAGAGGTTGCCCCTACCAAACTGTTATACAAAGCAAACAGGTGTGTCTACCCTAATTTGACAGACTAGCAACTCAAATACGTGTTAAATTGCTACTGGAACCTGAGTGTGGGGCAAACTAGATCGGTGTGGCCCATCTATCTTCTCCTGCCAAACCTCCCCTTTCCGCCGGTCCCTGTTTTCCCCTTGATGTTCAGTCTCCGATAATTTGCATTGGCTGTAGCTTTGATTTTCCGGGCAGCTGTCTTTATAATGCTTTCCTTTTTCGGCTTCTCGTTTGCTTCTTGTGGTTTTTTCGTTACTTTCCGTACTTTCGGAGTATGCGACACGTCGCTAGCATAGTCTGATTCATCGTCCACGTCTGAACCAAACTCGTCCTCTATGTCTGCTGGTACTTGTGTCTCTGGCACACGTGTCTGCTCTTCAACATCACCATGTGTTTCTGGTGCTGGCGTTGGCTTTGGCTTAACAATGTTCGGACGCACTGAAGATGGTTAGTTAAAGTACTTGCTTCAAACGAAAAACTAGCCATACTTATCACTCGTCGTGTTTGCCTCTTCATTCCCTTCTTCTTCCATGCCCTCCGAGGTTTGCCATCAGGGCCCAGTTCCGGTTCTTCCTCGCTCTCTTCTTCGGATTCAGCACCCCGATCTGGACCCAAGGGCATCGGCGCTTGGCTGTCTTGCACTAATAGTTGCGGTACTCTGGATTTCTTTGGAGCCACTATGCCTTCTTCTTCCATTTCCAGTTCTCGCATAATATCCGCCTCCTCATCAAGCTTATCATCCTCATCTTTCTTCATAGCCTGTATCATAGCAGTCAAACTGCGCCCTAGCCCCCGCCGCTTCCATGGCGCTGGTCGAGGGGTTGTCTCATCTTCCTCGTCAATTGCGCCCAGAGCATTGTCTCTTCGAAGAAAAGCAGGTGTCGCTAACCCATGCATCGTAGAGGACGGTGTTCCTTCCTCATCTAGTCTTCTCTTCTTTGGTGTAACGAATTGATTGAGCAGAAAGCGCTTTCCGGCCGATAGCGGTGTTCTCTCTCCTCTAGCTCGAGACTCCAATAATGCTTCGCTTGCTCCATCTTCCAACCCTTTACTCGGTGTCTGTGGTACGTTCAATCCCACTTCTCCAAGCACAGTTCTCGATTTGGTAGGTGTGAGTGCAAAAGGCAGCTGATCAAAAAGGCCTAAGACTATGCCATCGCGTTGCGGGGTTGGCCCGATTACGGCAGGCCCTTGTGGTGAAAGGAGATCAACCGCTTGGGTGACGTTCTCTGAAAGCTCATCCTCCTCCCTCTTCCTTTTCATGGGCGTAGTAACAACGGTCTTGGTTGCTGCTTTTGTCGTGGGTTCTGTGTCGACGACTGCATTCCGGCTTCTAGTTTGCTTCGAGGGTGTTTCCGGAGCTGCTTTTCGTGAGAGTTGTGCCCTCAACTTGCTGTATTCCTTGTATTTCTGTGCTGTATGTTTGTTAGTATGGTTCTAGTATGTCTTTATCCAGAGCGTGCATACAGATCTCGGCATTGGCCTTGATGTCGTCGCGTCCCGCCTTTCGGCCATGGTTCTGGGCTGCAAATTTCTTCTCCCAGACTTTGAGGTCTTGTCGTAATGTAGTGCAGCGCTGTTCAATGTCGTCGTTACTCATGGTGACTTGCGTAGAATCGTATGGGCAAAAAGTAAGCAAAAGCGGGCAAGTGAGAAGTGTAATTGATGGCGACATCAAATCGCGGTACGCGTTACGTGCACGCGACAAGACGCCGCTAGCAGGGGTATCTCAGCCCTACCGGCTCCACATCACATGTGCATCATTCACTAGCATTTAATTGGCGAGCATGACGCATCAGATGTATTCTACAAATATCATTCATAACTCCGCGCTCACATGCTTGAGAGCTTGAAGGTCATGTCGCTGATACACAAAAGAAAAGCCTGACCGAAATTGGGGGAATCTAGTAGTGAACAGCCTTGTCATAGGTGGCCATGGCAGCCTCCTTGAATGCCTCAGCAAGAGTGGGGTGAGCGTGACATGTGCGCGCAACATCTGCATAATCATTAGTACTAATTCAAGAATAGTTGTGATCTGATTCAACTTACCCTCAGAGCTA